TAGAATCTCTAATAAATGTAATGAATGTCCTAGAATAAATGAATCTCAGCATTTCGTATATATCTTCTTTTGTCAAATCAAATTTCATTTGAACGCTTTTAATCATCGCGCAAAAAGGCATTATCTTGTGCAGGAATTTCGGCATGAAATACTGTCGTTGTTTTGAAAACAAAGTCTATGCAAAGGTCTAGCATGAAATTTAAGTTTCTTGAACAAAAGTCGCAAATGTGAGTACAAATTTCAGCGATTTTACGTCGTTCTGTATGAAACTTCAGCATACTGAACTAGGTAGCTCTTGAAAGAAATTTTTTTTTATAAAATACGGCACTTCTATACTATGCACTCATCAGAACAGAATGTTTGACTGTTAGTTTTTACATTGAAAAGTTTTATACATTTTCGTAGAGAATTGAACGAAGAAACTTTTAATAAAAAATTCAAGCCGCAGCAATGAACATTGACGAAGGTATTAATAAAATTCGACTTGCGTCAGATTAAATGTCTCAGTGTCAAACTAAAAGTTTCCAAATATGAACTGCTGATGGTGTGAATAGACTAAGATACTCAAATTGTAAGTTATTTATAACGTATTTAAGGTGCCCACAAGTTACAATTTCAGTAGAACTTATACTTTCTTGTTTGTGACACTCGGCTAGATCTTGCTGAGTTGCATAAGAAAATGGCTGTTTAAAAATATGAGAAATAAATATAACGTTTAACAATATTATTTATCTTGATCGAATATTTTCAGATGAAAACGTTACTAAAAGCATCAGAAAGATGCTTTGTACTTTTTCCTCTTGCATTTTGGTAATAGAATTTCTGGCCCTTATGTTCTTTTCAAGTAAATTTTTGGTTTTTTTCTCTATTAAAAGACAGCATTTTTATATTTGCATAACGGTATTGCTAAGTGTAGCTTTTAATAGAATAATGTCTTTCTTTCTTTACGTATCGATATGCGTAACGTCATCTGCCGAATATCTCTCGATTAAAAATCTCCTAACTTAATTTAATTCAATTTATGACTTGAATTGAGTATGTTCTCCCAGAGAGAAAGCCACAATATGTCACAGATATGGCTTGCTTGAAGTCTACTTTAGATGAATTCTTATAAGAATTTATTATTGTATTAAGGCATACACTCGATTGGAAACCTGAATATGTGAAAACACCTTAAAAATCTTGAATGAACATATATATATGTTTAAAAGAATTTTAGGACTTCGCTGTCGTTAGAATTTCAACACGTGTTTACAAGATTTTCTTTATTCTTTGTTTGAGTAAGTCTTAGAAAAAGCATACTGAAAGATTCTAAATGAATCCCTAAGTTGTACAATTAAAATCGTTCATAGAAGTAGCATGACTTGTATGCGGATTCAAAATGTTTATTCTTGAAAACTATTAAAAAATTTCATGAAATGTGTTGCAATGAAGGTTCTAAGAGCAGGCATCAATCAAATTCCTGGACTCTTGCTATGAAGCTTCCAAGAAAATCTTGTTGAATTTATGTCACAATCTTCTTTGCTATTTCTGTTAAGAGTTTCTGTAAGAACAAGATTTGATCTTACTACAAGAGCATACAATCCTGATTTTAAAAACAAATTTATCCAGGATCTTCAAGAAATTCCTTACATATGATCCTGCAAAATTTTTGATGAGTCCTTAGATTTTCGTATGAAAATTTCATCTAGGACAAGTGTTTTATCTCCCGAGGATGTGACATGTTTGCTCGTAAAAATCTAATGATTACATCTTAGAAAGTTTTGAAAGGAAATTTCTTGTTTTATTGGCAGTGTGCATCCGATTTCTGATATTTTGATGAAAGATTTGCATTTCAGATTCAGAAAAAAACTCTCTCTCTGCACTTGAAGAAATCTTGGAAGTCTGATTAGGGATATCAGTTGATAATTCCCACACACCTTCACACTCCCACTCAAAATGTAGTGTAGCAATTCCTATCAGTTATTTTTTTCACGAGATTTAAATTTCATTTCATATTTCACTCTTAATATCAATATCAAAACTAGGATACTCAGGTGTTAATTTTTTTTTCTAGAGTTATAATTCTTCTCTGTGTGGAGTCGATAGTGAAATTGATAGAAATGAAAAATATTTTCAAAGATCAAGATCAATCTAATGAACCGAAAAAATGTTCGCTTCGATAACTTCTCGGTGTTACATATCACAACTTGTCATCTCTTACTTTCACATTTGATAATTTCATTGTTTTTAAATCAGTTGGATATGATCCTTTTTTTTAACATAATTTTATCAGTCAAATTTATGCAGAATTCATATGTAACTGGCTCGAAAACACAAAAATATGATTAAATCTACTCACGTACAATATTCATTGTCTCTAAGTTTATTTTGACCTTATGAATATTTCATTCTGTTTACACGAGATCAATTTTCTTTCCATCAACTGTCTTTTGAAGTAATAATTCAAACTATGATTATGTATGTCTACAGTCGATTTTATTTAGTAATATCAATTAACTGTTTAAGACATTCAAAGTTACAGAAAAATTTATCCACATTATCGAAAAAAGAATCATTTTTAACTATATATATTCTAATAATAAAATCATTGATCGATAGATTCCTATTGGTTTTCTACTTGATCTGAAATTTTTGTCATTCACATGAAGATAATTAATTTGTGATGTGCTTGACTTTTTTCGATCGATTGAACTATCAACAAATTTTTCTTCGCAAAAAAAAACAATTTCCTTGATAGTTAGGAAAATATTATATAAATTTTCCTTTTAAATCTCAATAGAGAAAGTTAGATATTGAATTTGTCAAATACGCTATTATTTATCATTGATGTAGAATGAAAACGATTCATTATTTGTTTATAAAGTTTTCTCATTATATAAAAGACAAAAATAGCATGCATACATCATTCGTCTGATCGAATGTGTAGTGAGAAGAAATTCATATATTTATATGGATGTGACTAATCTGATTACTTTACCAATTTTTTCTTAAAAAAAAGCATTTTAATGACCGTTTTCTCATTTTTCCCTTGACGTAGGTGAGACACAGTTGGAAATACCTTTACTGCGGTGTGATGCTTTGCAATTTACGTAGAATAGGCATTAGTCAAGGTAGCCAATCTTGATACTTTCAAACATGAAGAAGATGTCGAAGAAAACGACAATAAACTCACGCACGGATGGTCGCCTGCGGGTAAAATTACTGAAAGTTTTATTTTTTCGCTGAAATGTGTATTGAGTGTCGATGAATATGCTCGACATTTGCTTAAATACACTGTGTTAAGCAAGCAAAAGATTTTTTTCTTTCTTTATGATATCAAGATAAAATACTTCCGAGTGTGGGTGAGGCATGGACTATCATTGGGCCGGTGATGATGAGAAGTCGGACGACCGTGGCTCATACGCATACGCACACTTACACTCCACCCTCTAAGTTTAGTCATCTGAGACAATACACAGCGAAACCTGTTAAGCAAATTAGTGTTAATGGATACATTTTTTTAGACCTGTGTTTTTAATCTGATTTAATAGCTTTCGATAAATCTTGGGTGTGCGGGCGTAGGTGTGAATGAAATTAATATCTCTCAGAGATGGTATCGATTCGGTTTAAAGTTTTTATGGTTCAGTTTCAAAAACACATGAGCTGATTCCATCACTGATGTCTATGCCGATGCGCACATCCAGCTCAACATATGATAGAAAGAAAGACATAGGTAAAGAATAGAGTAAGAATGAAGAATATACAGGGTGTCACATAACCTTTACGCGCCCTCTCTAGAACCTAAAGGATAGGTAATATCAAAAAGTATTTATACCAGATTAAAGCCCATCAAAAACTGTATCTATGGGTGGAATTAGAATATATGTTGCCTAAGAAATTATTAAAACATCTTGCACAACATATTAAAATATCATAGATTACACAATATAGAGTCTACCAAAGAACTATTTCGTCTCTTTTTCAACGAATAAGTTACTTGTTGATAGATTTAGTTTACTTCAGCTTGAAGTGATATTATTTGTGTATTCTGTTAGAGCAGAGGGCTACCTACTCGATGTGATTCTCGTTTGCTTTTCTTATGCTCGACTGTAACGAAGCAAGTGCGCGAGCTGGGTAACGTGTTTATTCTCAAGCGAAAAGAACTCACTACTCATGACTAACAATTAAGAGGAGAAATACAGAGAAGAAAACTATACGTACATATATGCACGGAAAGATAAGACGAGAATGAATAAACATCAGCACTGTTTCAAGTTTTGTTACTTCTTTCCTTTTCTGTGTGTCTGTTGCTCACGTAACTAACTGTTCTGATCGCATTAGAAGTTGTATTAAATATTCATTAAATTGAGGCAAGCCTGTGACACATCAATTTAGCGAATGAAAATGACCGATCTTCTTAATGCCTCAGAAGAGCAACGAGTTTTGGACAGAATTCGTTGTATCACATATCGTGAGGCACGTGATGAGATGATTGCAAGAACAGGAAATTCATTTATCACTCGTCAATGGGTTTCTGAAAAACTACGCCTTAGCGAAGATTGAGTACGGCATAATTGGAATAAAACAACTGAAGAATGTTATACACAATTTGAAAGTGGTCGACCTCAGATGCTCTCTCAGCAGAGCAAAAACATTATCGCTTCTGCAAGTGGTGCCAGAGGCAGCGGCTCTCGAAAAGTTGCAAGAGAAATTTGGGAGAAAACAGGACAGCGCGTAAGTCATATGATTGCCCATCGTGAACGCTATCGACAAGGATTAAAATCTTTCCATGTGATTGCAAAGCCATTGAAGACAAATACACATATTGAAGATCGGAAATGGTTTGCAAATTTTGTTGCCGATTGAACTGAAGAAGATTTTCTGCATATCGAGCCTTCGGATGAGTTTTATACTTATGTTATCAGAAAACTGAACCATCAAAATGACCCAATTTGGGCAAAAAATATTGAAGACATTAGCATCGATGAAAGATACCGTGAAATGGTTCAGGATGCAAGATGCATCGGAATATTTGTGATGTTCATCGCAAACAAACTTCTTTGGGTCCTGAAGGAACAGGATCAATTCAACAACATGTAATTCCATTTCTTCGAGATCCAAATAATGTTCTTGACACAAATGAAGTCATATTTCTTCACGATAAGGCACCCTGCGTGAAAACCAATGCAACGCAACACCTTTTGGAGGATGAAGGCGTCCGATTCTGGGGCAATACAATTTGATCCGGTAATAGTCCTGACATGAACCCTGCAGAAAACATCGATTTCATTATCAACGATAAAGTTGAAGAATTGATGGCAAATGTAGATCGGCAGTACCGATACAATGATGATGTTCTCAAAACTAACCTTGAAAATACATTTAGGGATGTTGAAGATGACACAGATTTTTTTATTGATTTACTATGCTCAATGAGAAAAAAATTTGATGCTCTGAAAGCTGCTAGAGAAGGTCATACACATTTCTGAAACTTTTTCCTAAACACTTATCCGTGAGAAATTTATATTTCCAATAAATTAAAAACTCTATGATCAGTAATTGAAGTCGATGAACGATATGGTAGTTCTTTGATGGACTCTATATTGCGTAAGATATTTTAATAATTTCTTAGGCAACATTTATTCTAATTACATTCATAGATGCAGTTTTTGGTGAACTTTAATCTGGTATAAATATTGTGTGATATTATCTATCCTTTAGATCTCAGAGAGGGGGCGTAAAGGTTATGTGACACCCTGTAGATCACAAGTTCTTTATGACCAGAGAGAAACAACAAGTATGCTTATCTTAGAATAAGGAAAAAACACAAATGCCACCGGATAGTAATAAGAATTTTCCTTCACATTTATGCAAAAATGTTATAGCTTAATATAACGAATGTTGGTTAAAAGTATAATAGATAAAATATCTGAAAAAAGTAGAAAGAACAGAAAAACCCTCGAATAGAAGAATTTTTCTGCTAAGAGCAGAAGAGTTGGTAACATTGGTTTGTGGTATAATTATCAAGTCAAAAGATTGGGACTGGCTTGAATGTCGAGTCGCATACTGGTGAGTTTGTGCTTTGTGAGTTCCATGCATAAACAGAAATAATTCATAACTTAATAAAGACATGTCGATTTATAATAAAAGTTTCACCGTAGATAATAAAAGAGATAAGCTTTCCAACTGGAAGTTGAACAACATTATCTTCTTCCTAGCTCGAGATAATACAATAGAAAGAAATCATTAATGTTGACCTTATATCTCAGCCTGGTTAAGGAAATAGACTTTAAGCTTTTGTCTATGATCAGAATTCATCAAGTTCTTCTCCTTATGGTAGAGAATCTCAAGGTAACCAATGCTTACGTTCATGTATTTTGCCTAACTGTGAGACTTTTGTCTACGACTGTAGGAATCCAACCCAGTGCCATTATCACGAAAGATAATAATGTCGTATCGAGTGAGATTCGAACTCATATCCTACAGCTTGTGAAACCTACAAAGGATTAGACCTTTCAGTACGGTTACTATGTGATAAAAATTCGTATAACATATTATGGCAAGAAAAACACTAAGGCATAGTTTTCGAATAGTACCACATTTGCACGTTCAATTAAAGAATGAGTCATCATCTTAAAATTTGATTAGTGGAATATAAGGACATTTCCAAGTGATCGATCTTATTTTCCATTGATATTGACTAGTTACTGATTGGTGAAAGACAAATACAAGGATAACATTATCTGGACCAGGTCTAGTATGAAAATGTCGGACAAGACATCAATTAAGATTAAACGGGATCATCATAATCGATGATCATTCGTTCGTGTGCTTATTTTTCTGCATATGAATAGAAGATCTCCTTGAGGCTCTCTATAAGTTTGTCTATTTTGAGGATGAGGGTGTTTGTTCTACCCACCTTTACTCTCAAGAGTAAAGTTTTCTAGTCAATTTCTTGTTCATGGCTGGCTACGAAGTCTTCCAGATTAGCAGCAGCAAATCGTTCTTCTTATTTTAATTTTTACTGTTGATTCGTTATGAGTTTGTAGATCTTGACGAAGCAAACTTTGAAGTGCTGTAGAAATTAGTCGATGATCAATCTGCAAAAGGAAAATTAACTTCTGGTTATTACATCTCCAGAGCTATTTTCGTTGTGAAAAAAGATAAACAGCTACGATCTTTTTTCATCTCATTCTGCTTTTTTTAATTATTATTGCGCAATAAGTTTTTTCGTTTCATATATCGTAAAAACAAGAAACTGTTTTTGCTACAGCTTTCATTTCTTTCTACGTGGTTATATTATTACATTTTTTTACCTGCATAAAATACGAAATTAATTTGTTCTACGTCATTAATTACTGTGTAAGGAAGTACGTTTGAAAAATTATGAATCATATTCTCTCTTTACTTCNATATTTTGAGCTAATACTAGACAACTATGAGCCCAATGAAACTTCAATACTTTTTTGCACGTATTCTCCCTCAAAATAGCTTATAATCCTCACAGCTTGACTTGAAATTATTACCAAAAGAATCACCACATTTTTCTGAATAGGATAGGCGATAAAGTGACTGAAAATATCCTATGGGCCAAATCGGGTTCTTATGCGCCCCTGCCCTTTTCTTCTCAAGATCCTGATAAGTTTTGACATTGTCTTGCAAGGTCTGAAAGCACATATTCTTGAAAAGTTCCGAACAATATCCTGATTGAAGCTTTACAAGATTAGCCAGTTTCGTATCCTGACCGTACTTGTTATTTTCTTGTCAAGATCCTCGCTTGATATGACTATAACTCCTGACAGAATCCTGATACGATGAGATGAACTAGATCTTGACGAGAGCTTGATTAAATCTGGGCAAAATTCTTTTTCATAATCTTGAGAGGATCCTTGATGGGATCTTAAGTCAATCCTAGTAGGATCCTGTATTCTTAACTCAGAAAAATATCCAATGAGGAACTTGAAGAAATCCCGAACACGATCCTGTTTCATCTTGAAAAATTCTGTAAACAGAAATTATCAGGAGTCGTAACAAGATCCTGAACAAAACTTGACAGGATCCTTGAGATTTATGATCCTATAAGATTCTTTCAGGGTTTCTCAAGGAATGAACAGGATTGAGACTAGGGTTACCACGAAGAAAAGACAGAATATAGTGACTCCTATTGTGTATTTTTGAATGTATCGGTGCCGAGTGAGTGCGATGTGACGTTAGATAATAAAATCCACATGTACATCAACACGTTCGCACCCACACTCGAAATATCAGTGATTAACAAAGCGGAGATCTGTGTAAGAAAACATTCATCTGAAACAATCGAAAAAGAAATAAATCTGACCGAATACCATTGATCATCCGTATTGATATCCCTGTTTGTTATAGAAAAGTTCGGGATGCTTTGCGAATAAATAGTCGCAGGAATGATGCAGCTGTTTCTGTACTTTTTTATTGGTAACTGACGCAACTAATCAGATCAAACAATCAATGAGAGTATAAATCGAAAATACCGAAGAACTCACTCGATTTTCAAATGATTGATGGTAGCGGTGACAATTCGGTTCTGTGGTACCTGTTGCACGTTTTAATTAATGCTTACAGATCATTTGCCTGGCAACAGATCGTTTCGATGGTATTAATTCGTGGTTATGCTTTACTATTGATGTATGTGGTGAATATATCATAGCCATTGAGTCTCCGATATATGTAAAGAATTCTTCAAAACAATTTTTGACAAAGTGAACATACAACCATATTGTTTCTATCATAATTTGCATAAAATTACAAAATGTTGGTGACAGCATTTTTTTTCTCATACCATTCTCAAACAGGGAGAAAAAGATGGATGTTTACAAGGGTTTCGTATGCTTCGATGTTGATGGTAGGTTAATTTTTTTTCTTGACAAAGAACAGCTTATTTACATGCATATTCAGTCTTTCATAGTCAACCAAACTCATTTTCAATTTCTCTGTATGAATAACTTAAGACGATTCTACCAGAATTCATTTAGAATTGTTTTCAATTTTCTTGTACGCTCTTTTCATTGCAAAAAAGTTGTTCTTCACAAATAGAATAGTTCTACAAAATTGCTCATATATGTATTGTTTAGTTCTGCATCTTAGGACGCACAGAACTGCAAACATTTAAAAAATGAAGGAGTTTCCATTTTGTGAATTATTTTCAAAAGTAGAATGCAATAGTGGGTGTGGGTCTTCGACTGAATTACATCTATGCGTTGCAATTAACATCTATTAATTTATCAAATATATTAAATTGAATTGAAGAGAAAATTTTGCCACCAATCAAGTACTCATATGACATCTTCATCCCGAGTTTAATCTTAACAGTATATAGAATGGAAATGTAAAGATTACTTTTACTCACATCCAATGTCGGTAGGTTTCTTGAAAGAACGATTTACGTTAAAATATTCGAAAACGGTCAGTGTGTATCTTATATTGAATGAATAAATAAATAAATATTTATCAAAAGTAATGTAAAGATTTCTGGAAGGTGACACTTTTCAATCAATACCAACCTCATAATCTATCCGATAGTCTGATTTCGTTTTAGTAGCCATTGAATATTGCTACAAATACTCATGTTACATGTTTTGAGAAAAATATTTTTGATAATGAACAATCTTCAGGGTGTGCGTGTAGATGTTCTGCTGCTCACTAACGAGGGAACCTTCTCAGATGACACCTTCCATTTTCATTCATTCATATCGCATTTAGTTGAGTATATTGAGATAGTAAATAGCCTAAAGGGGTTTTCCCCAATGTACTTCCTTCAAAAGATATCGATGTTTTTCTATTTTTACCCTTATACATGCAGAAAAATTTAAAAAATCATAAATTAACTAAAATAAGTTAGAGAGGTGTGAAATTTTGACTGTAGATGGGCAGACCATTTTAGTGTAAGTATTTGTCTAACATTACCCGCTTGCTAGCGCCATCTGGTATGCGGTTATATAGCTTTGTACAAAGAAATAAATGCTAGTGTCTTTTTTTTTCTCATATTTACAAGTATCGTTGTGTTGCAGTTTGTTTGCGGTGTCAGTGTCACTTCTGTATTTTGATTAGTCGTAAATGATTAGCATTGTGAGAAAAAGGTTTTCGGTTGTATATACAAGTATTTCATATTCTGCAAAAAATTATCAAAAGGTATACACTACTGAGATTTTTTGTTCATTTTAACTTGTACATATTATGAATAATCATGATAAACCCTCATCGTGTTGCAGAACTTCTTAGTAATTTAATGTCTGAACAATTATATTTACATGATCACGATACTGCAGACAGTACACGTGATGAAGAAGTTGCTAAATATTTATATGATCACGTCGAATCAATCCTTGAAAGCACACATTACTCTATCGAAACTGAGCATACCCTTGATTTCAACGATAATTATAATACCGAACAATTTGAAGAAGAGGAAGACGAAGACGGCGAAGACGACGACGACGAAGAAGAAGAAGAACAACAACAACAACAACAAATGGATAATGATGAAGAACAATTTGACGAAGCATCCATGGAAGTAGACGAAGATCAACAGTACAATTCACATCATCATTTTTCTATTCAATACATGAAGAAAGCTGTTGATTTCTATGATGCGATAAACGAAAAAACAGGTAAGAAACAACACTCTTGGAAATCATTCCAGCACAGCTTTCCTAAGGTGAAGAAACGTAGGTATATAGAACGTTTTCGTCAATATTTGAAAAGTGACGGAACAAAAAAAAACAAAATCTTGATGAAATAGATTAGTATCCATATGAAAAATTTGAAAAAGCACGTTCACAATTTCTTTTTGTAACGTCGGCATGTTTTATGCAGCCGAAAAGTAACAAAACTTATAACACAACGAGAAATAGTAGATGCAGATACTATCAAATAATTCTGCAAATAATTTCATAAGTAAAATTAAAACACTTCTTCCACATTATCAACAAAGTAATGTTTTCAATACAGACCAAAGTGGTCTTGAGATCAAAATGGTAGGCAATCGCACTTTGTTATTCAAAGGTGAAAAGACTATATTGGGAAAAGTTCGATCTGTATATAATACATCACATGGTTACACTGTTCAATTCATTATCTCATTAACTGATCAACCGATTGGTACATTCTACTTATGTTTGAAAGAAAAAAATGGTTATATGTCTGACAATATCAAAAAGAATTTATTTCAAGCATTGAGCGTAACCATTACGTGTAGCAAGTCAGGAAATTTGTCATCATCTCTTGTTGAATACTGGATTCAAAAGGTGTTAGAGCCAACAGTTGGTAGTGAAAAAGTCCTACTACTGTTAGATGTTTGGGATGGTCAAACTAACGAACAATTATACTCGAAAATGAAACATCTTCGACTTAAAATTATGCCGAAGTAAACAACTGCAATGATCCAACCGTTGGAGATTACATTCAATCGTCAGTACAATCATATTGTTCGTACAATCTATGATCATGTGCAGCTTTATGATAGTGACTGTACTCTTTCGCAACGAAATAATATAATTAAATTAACTTCTTTATGTTATAATCGAATGCGTTCCAAAAAATTTATACCAATGCATCGATATAGTTGGTTTCAAGGTGGTTATCTTGAAAAAAGTCCAGAACCATATCAAAATGTTGATGAGTTGTATTTTCGATTTCAAGACTATGCTTGCCACGAAAGTCAATGCAATAACATTCCTTTAATACAGTGTAGCTTTCGTGAAAAAGTTTTATGCTTTTATCATTTTTTCGTACTGTATCATATCCACTAAAAACTGCAAGTTTTATTTCTTCAAGTTCGTTTCTCTTATACTCTTTTGTGAATTTCTTTTGATTTGAAAACAATAAAATTGTGAAAGTCATTCAAATTAATTTTTTTCCTGAAAATTTTGTGGTGCAGAGTAGTGTTTTCTATCGAAAGGATTTAAAACAAGACCTGCACTCTCGCAAAGAAGGCTTTGATATAAGCGGGTAATGTTAGACAAATACTTACACTAAAATGGTCTGCCCATCTACAGTCAAAATTTCAGACCTCTAACTTATTTTAGTTAATTTATGATTTTTTTAATTTTTCAGCATGTATATGGGTAAAAATAGAAAAACATTGATATCTTTTGAAGGAAGTACATTGGGGAAAACCCCTTTAGGCTTTTTACTATCTCAATATGCTCAACTAAATGCGATATGAATGAATGAAAATGGAAGGTGTCATCTGAGAAGATTCCCTCGTAGGCACACCCACTCACAGCCACACATCCACACCCACACCCACACCCTCACCCACTCCAACGAAAGCCTGCTACTTTTCTCGAAGCCGAAATGGAGACTAATTGTTCTTTCAAATAGAAGAGCGAACCGAAATTTATTAATCGAGAAACTCGAAGTTCGATATTTTGTTTTGATCATCTTTATTTATGTCGAAAACGTAGTTATTATTATGGGATGGAAGTTATCGTTACTGGACAGTTATTATACTAGGTAACGTAACGATAACTTTCCTCCCTTAGTTATCAGAAGTATGAGCTAAAGTAAAAATATGTGAGGAGACATGTCCTGTCGGTCAGGTTTAGTGGATAGCTGATCTGCTCCACTCCTCTTGCATGATTCGTCGAAATTCGGAAAAGTCTATGTCAGACACTGGATTGAATTGTCCAATCGATTGTCCATCATTGTTTAAATAGTCGAAATATTCGTAATGTTCCTCGTCTTCTTCTCCATATTGATAACATTGAATAGAAATGGAACATGCACCATATAAATCAGGATTTCTCACTTGATGAGTCTGATTCAGTCTGGGCAACATCCATGTTATTTGACCTTCTTCAAGAAGAGTCTCGATAGGTGAATATTGTCGAACATTGAGTGACAATTCGGGATAAAGTTTGACAAGAAGACGCCCACAGAGTACTTTGATAATTCCGTAAGCATTGCTATGATTATGAATTGGACTGTAATGACCAGGTGGCCAGATTTCTACAACATATTTATGACCGGGTGCACTACCATCACGATTGCCAACTGTGACACGTAAGTAAGTAGCATAGAAATTTGGTCGACCGAATCTATTTGCTTTTGCGACCAATTTCTTGTGACACCAACCATTCGGATCTTTAACACTACGATCAACAGCACGAGTAAAATCAGGAAACTTCGAATCGTTCAAAATCAAATGATGAACATTCTCGTACAATTATCGGCAAGGTTTTTCCAATTGCGATGGTACAATGGATTTTTTTCGTGATAAATCTTCGATACTCAACTGTTCGGGTGCTACAACCAAAGCAGGTTCATCAACTACAGGATCATTACCAATGAAAAATCGGAATTTTTCGCGTGTGCCACCTAGATTCTGAAGCATTTGATTGTCTTTGTTTACTTTAACGTGAAGATAATGAATTTCTCGCAGTTCTGATGCCATATCTTCTTCAATTGTAATTTCAAAAATACTGAACATTGAACGAATCTCGCCTATGCCATATCGAAGTTTGCGAGTGTCTTTGAAAAAGCTAAGCCAATATGTGTGCCATTTACCATTGTTTGGTTGAATTAAGTGCTGTGGTATATGACTTTGATCATAGGTCTTTTTGTTCGTACCAAAAAAAGCTCCAGTTGTGTCAATACCAAGAATAATGGAAAAAGCTTCTGGATCGTCTGGATTTGGTTTAGAAGAAAGACAAAGTTCAAATGGCATTGGTTCGAGTTCCATCACTGCTACTGTTCCTTGACCTTTGACTGGAAGTGTTTTCGTACAACTATTTGCATTCCATGGACACCAATGAATGCCTGGTTGAGAGAAAACTTCGACACCATTTTCGGTCGGTATTTGATTCTGTTTAGGTGGAGTCGCTGCTTTTCTGGCTAGAAATATCCAAGAAACATTTTATTAGAAAATCATGAACGAACCTTATCTCTAACTACTAACCTCGTTCAATTAAAGCTTCTTGATCTGCCGGTGAGATAATATCCGATGTTACTGTATGACGTTCTCCTTCACGTCGCGTTTGCATTGGAGCTTTTGGCAACGTTTCTGCTTCCAAATCGTTACATATGCGGGTAAGTAGCAGATCAGGTTTGCTGAAAACACCACGCAATTTAGAATATTCTTTTCGTAGTGATTCATAGTTGGCCACAACTTGACAATATATATACACCGAATGAAGTTGAGGAAGACTGTGAATGTCCTTGATAATATTTGCACACTGTCTGCCTGTTGAAATAAGCAAAATCTTCTTTTCTACAGAACCACTCTTGATAAACGCTTTAAATTGGTCTTCGCTAGTGTAGTTTGCCCATAAGTTTGAGTTGCAACCAGTTTTTTGACAGAAATTTTGCCGAAAGCTTGCATATTCACCAACTGATACATCAAGATAAGCAAACGATAAATTATTGGGTATTATCGAGTCAGCTGTGGCTTGATCCTTTCTTCGACCTCTATGCAATTCATCATCACTGTCATCTTGTGCCAATCTTAAATAGAAACAACAAGATAACATTTTTACTATTCAATGCCTATGGTAAATGAGAATCTGAACAGAAATTTAAAAAAAAGAAAACTCACACTGAATGTTCAATGTCAACCATTTAGATCGAATTGATCTCGATAGTGAAATAAGTCTTTTGTATATAATCGATTGTAATTATTTATCTAGAAATATGAATGCTAAATCATCCTATGAATATAGCTGGACGACATAAACTAAAGAGGAGAAGAAGAAAACAATTGCAAACCTCTGTGATTAATATTTGTCTGAAGAGTAAAGAAGAAAGTCGAAAACTGATGGTTGTTTCCTATCGCCCCTCTTCTCCGTCTCTTCGACATTGCACTTTGTCTCTTACACAGAGATTAATAAAAAATAAAGAAAAGATAACAGTTAAAAGGGAAAAAACCGAATCACACTTATTTTCATTTCTTTCTAAGAAAAAAACGAATTTCAAAATTGACGGTTGTTTGCCATCGTCCCTCTTCTCCGATTCTGCAATACTGCTCTTTCTCTCTTACACAGAGGAATGAAAACGAAACGAAAAAAAGTTATGAGTAAGAGGAAGAAAACCAAAGAACAGTTAGTTATCTTTGTCTGCATGAAATAACCAAACTTACGACTGATAGTTGTTTGTCATCGTCTCTCTTCTCCGACTCTCCAATATTTGAGTTTGCCCGTTACACAAAGAAATAAATACAAAACGAAAAAAGAGGGATATATAAGAGAGAGGAACCGAATGACGGTAATTTATCTTTCTTTGCATAAAAAAGAACGAATTTCAAAGCTGACAGGGTGGGTGTTGGTGTGTGCGTATGTGAGTGTGAGTGTGGGTGTGCGGGGGTGGCTGTGAATTCAGAGCTTCTCACAACCCACAGTCACCCACCCCACACCCACACCCTTAAATATGATTCATATAATTTTCATCTTATTCCCCATGTCGTCAAAATCGCGTTACTGTTGGCGATTAATCGATGATTTTTTTTCATGTTTGTAAAATAGTCGATTAATTGCGATCAAGGGGGAAACAGCGGACTTCAAGACTTCAAGACTTCAAAAGACTTCAACAGACTTCAACAGACTTCAGCCGCAGTGACTTCATATTTTCACAAGACTTCAAAAGACTTCTAAAGACTTCNTAGAGATTTGTTATTACAATTTTTGTAGAGCTTTTCACGGCGCATCTTTTAAGAAAAAATTCAAGATTTTATTATCTACCTAAGCCGATATATAGACATTTCGACAGATCCAGAATACAGGAAAATTTCGAAAATAGTACATGACAGTGTTGTTCTAGGCTCTCATCCATAGTACAAGCAATAGACCGGAAACTTTGCAGTTATGTAGTACCACATATGTACAACAATCTACCAAAGTTTCAGCGAATTTGCTGTTGTAGAATGCGAGAACGGTGAATTCTTAAAATCGTTTCAGAACTTCTGGGACACCCTTCATAAAACGAGTATTTTTTTAGATTTCGAGTCATTTTTATTGTTTTCTATCATGTTTTTCGAATATCGAAAGTTGAACATATATAGAAAATATATATCTGAACTATTATCTAAAATTCGTTATACTCAAACGGCATCGTTATTAAGAAAATGCTTTATTAGAAAAAATGCTATAAAATATATCTATCAAATTTTTGTTTTTTTTCCTTACGATGAGAACAATGTTAATACAAAAATTTCATGAAAAAATAAATTTGATAAAATTATTTAATTATTCTATCTTTTAATAGAAAAAAAACCAAAAAATTACTTGGAAAGAACATAAAAGGCCAGAAATTCTATTGCCAAAATGCAACAGAAAAAAAGGTACAAAGCATTGATCTGATTACAAATTATTTTTTGACTGTTTTAGTGACGTTGCCTATCTGAAAATATTAGATCAGGATAAATAATATTATAAAACATATTTTCTTATAATTGTATATTATTCGTCTTACTGCATTGATATTAATGATTTTTACTTGATATTCATTGAATCGATATAATTTCTATCAATTTATTTGTTTGCATATTGATTTAAGCAATTAAGTAGATTAAATTTCAAGAATAAAATTAAACGACAGTAACTCTCATTGCATCTATTTTCAATAATTACCTATCGACTTGTTACTTTGCATTATCCTACTATAGTTTATTTTCATACAGTGAAACAAAATTCAGATTTTCTTTTATCTGATAATTAATAATGATAGCTAGCGAAAGTTCTTACTTGTATAATATGTTAACAACTAGTCTTAGTTCTGATTACACCGTCGATTCAATTCAGTTAGCGTCATTTTTTCATGCATAAAATATGAAAGGGGTTAATTTTTGAACTAAAACAATTTTGAGACGAACTTTAAATGTTTTAGAAACTAAATTAAAATCAAACAATAGGTTCTTTTTTGTGGGTCAAGTTTAAACCATATTTTGTTCTCAAACGATGTACTTCTATTGTCTTTCAAGACGATCTACCAAAACATTAAAATCTCAAATTTGAATGCAAATCACACAGAGATGAAATAGGAATTCTACTGATAATGGAAATGTTTGTGATGTGAGTTAATAAGATGAGGCATATTCGGGTCAGATTAAATGTCTCACCATTAAATTACAAATTTCCAAAGTCAGAATTTCAGTAGAATTTACACTACTTTCTTTTCGTGATGATTGGATAGAGCTCATCGAGTTGCATATTTACGAAAGTCTGAAATTTAGGTTTATTTCTCCATCTATTTGAAAGCAATGATTTCTTTTTTTCAAATTTCAAACTCACCTTTTCTTATGTAACTCGACCAGCTTTATTCAATTCTAACGAAAAAAGAAAGCGTAAGCTCTTCTACTAAAATTTCAAATAGCTTAAAACTCGAATATCTTGGTCTCTGCATATCATCAGCAGCTCATATTTTGAAATTTTTTTTGTTTAACGCTAAGACATTTAATTTGATCCGAATATATCTCATTTTGTTAACTGACATCACCAACATCTCTATTTTGAGAAGTTAGTTTATTTTAGCACATACGTTATTACTACCGTTCGAAGTGTCATGTAATGTGTACTTGCCTACAAATAATATATTGATTAGTAGATATTACAAAAAAAGAAGAATCAATTGGAGACTTCAGCAGAACATTGTTCATATCAGACTTAATACTATATACGAAGTTAAAAAAATATCGGTTAAAACAATTATGGGAAAATAATTTATTCGTCTTGAGTTTCTATTCAGATTACGATCAAAACTAACAATTCATGACATCATCTAAGTATGATGATTATAATAGAGTTTGTTTTACTTGAATTTTTTTTCCCAAGACAATCAAAAATTAATCAAACTGTTTGAACTTCACGCAATCATTCGTTGAAATGCACTTTCTTTCATAGTTCACAATTATTATTATAGACAATCAGTCGAAATGTTCTGTTGCTTTTTCTGAGCCATCATTTTTGTTACATGAATTGTATACAAAATCAAATTAAATATTATAAAATGATTTAGTATATCATAATCGTCGATCAATCTTTTTAACTTCGATTGTTGTACCAAGCAATTAACTAATTGATAGGTGTCTCGTTTGACAAAAAAAAAATAATACTTGTATATTTGTTTTCTACACTATTTCGTAGTGTAATGGCTTCGATATAGTATGAAAGAAAAAAATATCCATAATTACTTATAATCATTTCCCATATGCTTAATTTGGATAAGAAGTCTATGATGTCTCTTGTGAATTAAAAAGACTCCTACAAAAAAGAAATACCAGCTGTTTAATTCTATTTTTTTGTACAATATTTATAAACATTTATTCATATAACATATGATGCAAAACTAATTTGTCTAATGTCATCCTCCATTTCTCTTCAATAGAAGAAAACTTTTTTTAATAAAAAAAAAAAAAATAGAGAATTTTTTCTCTTTCGAATGGTATGCATCTTATTTTTATTACGACAGCTATAAATGAAATGCAGTAATAAAAAAAGAAAAATACTTTCAAAATGAGTGCGTATTTTTTCATATAATGCAAAATAACAGTAAATAATATTAACCCCAATATATATATATCTTTATAGTAAACACCTGTTGAAATGGGAACTTTCTTTACCAAATAATAAAAAAATTTTCTCCTCTTTTAAACTGTATATAACTTAATTTTCTTCTATATCGATAAACAACACGGCATGAGAAGAATGAGGAATATTTCCAAAACGAATTTGCAACTTGTTTTTGTTGGTTCATTCATCAATTAAATCTTGTAAAACAACAGTCAATTATTTTATAAAGGAAGACATTCCGAGAATAATTTATTACATATTGAACAGGTATTCGAACCAACATACAAGTGAAATTTTCAACATGGAATGATCGTTCAGTAAGTCTTTCTAATCAAAAATACAATTCTTTGGTGAAATCTGTTTAATATTGTTATTGTATCATTCATTGTAATTTAACAAAGTGTTTCAACATTAACCAATCAACAATTAGTCGTAACTTACAAAAAAGAAATTTCAGCTGCAAATCGTGGCTTTATTAATCATGTGATGAAAAAGTACCGAATCATTCCGAGATTGCTTTTCTTCTCTATTATGTCATTTCGTTTATAATTATCTTAAAAATTCTCTATAAGACAAAGTTCTTTTTCTTTTTCTCTTGAACAAAAATAGATTTCGACATTTGTCCACTGACTTCTGTATCATAAGTTATTTATTTTTTGTATGTTTAATTAATCATCAATATAATATTCTTTTCTCTACCGACAATATATTTGGTTTTTGTTTTCGCTTAAATGATGATATAATAATATTTTAACATTCATTTATAATTCGAAAAATATCGAGATGACTCGTACATATTTATTTATTTGTATAGACTATGTCTATGAATAGGAATTCTTGATTGGAATGTGTTTACATCACGATTTCATCATCACTGCCTAAACGTTTTTGATTATCTTGTTTTAATAATTTAACATATTTGGCTTTGTCTTGAAAATTATTTAAATGAATTTGTTTAGCAATAAATAATTTGCTTTTATTTCCATGATGCTCTAATGGTATTTGTTCATGATAAGGTGATACATTTGTACCATGTAATACTAATGACCATTCAAAAAA